TGACAGGTCAGGCAGATCCTCCTCCCCTGTGGTTTGGTGGGTTTGCTCTCTTCCATGACGGTCGAGTAATTCAGATCTTTGCCCCCTGCCCTCCCTGTGGTGTGGTGGGTGTGCTTTCTCCCAAAACAGTCAGCGTTATGTTTGCTGAAAACATTCAGAACGCCTCCCTCCCCCTGAAGTGTGGGTGGCTGCCTTCCTTCAATAACTGTCACCATTCGTGCCAATTCGTTCAGATCTTTCCCCTCCCCTCTGTGGTGGGCGACATGCACTATCCTTGTGATTGTTGGCATTTTGGGGTTCTGTAACATTAACAACAATGCAATTCGCGGATGGTGATTAGGACGCCCACCACTAGGACACCCACCGTCGCCGTGAAAAACGGTGACGGTTAGGAGGATCGTGACCAGGACACCCATGTTAGCATTTTTGAGATCTTTGACATCACAAAAACGACGACAGTCACGAGAATGGCACCTCCGAGGCCTCCAAAACGGTGACAGCTACGGGGATGGCGACCTGGACGCCCACCATCCCTGTGACTGTTCACACTTTTGAGAGTCCGGGGCCGGCGCTTGGCGGACCATACCATGGGGGTGGGCTGTCGACACAGGACTCGACACCACATATTCCCTACATATTCCCTATATAATTCCCATATAACGGCTGGACCTCAATGACTTGGAGAGGTGGAGCCTGCCACACCCCCAAGCAAGAGGCCGAATGAGGTGTCTGGCCCTTAGGGATCAGGGCAGAAATGGCTTGCGTAATATGAGCTATAGTCTAAGCTTCGCAGAGAGGGTTTATTTAGGGTTTAGGGTTTAGGACCTAAACGCAGTTTAGGATCTAAACTCTTTAAACGGGGTTATTAAGGGGTTTTTTAGGGGAGTATTGTAGGGCTTACTAAGGGGGATACCAGGAATTTACATTATAGTTCATATAGGATTCAGGTTAAGGTTTGAATCAACTCCTGCCTTGCGGGGTTTAGACTATGCTCTCTGTGCCTGCTTCTCTGAGTAGAGGCGCAGCCATGCCGTCTGAGCTCTCGTGGAAGTACCACAGATGCACCGTGTCCATGCAACGCATGCTTCCCTGATTTGTGGCTTAAGTGTAGCGGCACGTAGGGTCGCGGCCGAGCGAGTAGTGAGCAAACATGGTAGTCCTGGATGGGCGTTGCTTGCGTTGAGCTCAGAGGAAATTGCGCCCTCAGAAGCAGCAAAGGGCAGGAGTGTTGGCTTGAAGTACCAAGGTGCGTGGGGAACTGCTGCTGCCTTGATCTCCATGTTCCTGCCTTGCAGCAGAAGAAGCACCTTGGTGTGAGCCTGCGAGATTGCAGATTCTGTCAAAGCCAATCCGTCTTTTGACAAACCTCCTTTGTAAGAAGCCTCAGCCAGACTGGTCTCACGCTGCAGTTGGAGCAATGTATAATTGCACACTTCGAGCAGAAAATTGCGTACACTTGCGGATGGACCCAGGCAGGAGGAGAAGTTCCCAGTGCCCATATCCTTGGAAGTGATCAAGGGCTTCAGCCAGCGAAGTGCCATGGCTTCCATGGTAAGATTTCAGGCTGCTTGCCTCACATCTCTGCAGCTGGCTCTCACTAGACCTGTTAGAGGTAGGATCTACTGCCGCAGGCAAAGCTGTTGGAGGACTTGCGTCCGTGCTCCCAAATTTTCGTCTGAAGCACTCAGGTATGCAGAGCGATGCCTCGACGCGAGCCTCCGGGAGGCAAGCGGGCTCTGTATCTTGAAGCAGTTTGGTAGGATGTCGCTTCATGCCGCTTCGATTCTGAAACTTCCGAGCACGCCCGGTCTGCATTAGCTGCTTAGTTACTTAGTTTGTGGACCCAAGGTGAATTGTAGCATGATTTTCTTCGCCCAGTCTCCCAGCCCTTTGATGGCCGCTTGCAGGTTCAGTCGGGGAGGCTCGTCTCACTACGGTTCAGGCCATTGGTGTGTGGATGACGAGTCGATGCTCGGATGCAAGGTCACACGCTTTGAGATGCCTTGGCCTTCCATCAGTCGTTCCACGTTGTGCAGCAACAGTAAATGCCTGCTACAAGAGCATGAGAGTCAAGCCAGAGTAGCGAATATTTTGGTGCTGGGTGTTTCAGACCTATGCAACGTGCTGCAGGCCTTGGACTAAATTCAGGATCTTCGTTAAAACTCAAGGTGGTAGAGACCTCCCGCTTTTGCCCCACAGCTATACACGTGCCTCAAAAGGAAGGGAAATCGAGCACCTCATGCAAAAGAACCCCAAGACTTTTTTTCTGTCCAGGCCCCGCTGTATCTCTTTGATCCTGTAATCTGAACCATGCTGACTTGAGGATGGGGTTATCGTTGTTCCGCACTCGGAGGCATGCTGCAGCAGGGGCATGCTAGTGTCACATTGTGTCCTGCAGGAGGTTCTATTGGACTTTCCTGTTCAAGCAGGAACGGGTTGTAAGGTTACAGCTTCTCTGTTTCAAATGGGCCTCAGCATACCGTAGAAGGGATGCTGCAGGAAGTTTGGTATTGTTTGCTTGGACATTTCAATTGCATACCAAATCCGGATTCTGAAGCTGCTGCAGGGGTCTTTTGAAAACATTATGGCCGCTCCAACTACAGCCAGTTCTACACCGCGTCCAAAAGTCAAAGAAAAGGCGAAGCCCAGACATGGTTGCCTAACAAAGCCCACGCGTCTTGATCTTCATGGTAGTATTGAATTTCGACATTCATGACACGGCCCAAAGAACGGCCTGGGGTTCTCCATCTACAGCAATTCTTCATTTGCATTGCATGGAGGTTTGTAGCGATTCCATCCGCCTTCTTCCAGAATGACAGCGCAGATGCTGAAGAGAGGTTGGGATCATGGGTTTCGCGGTGCAATTCCATTATTTAGGCCCAAAAAGCTGTAAGATCTCAATTCATTGGGCCATTGGGTGTGTCTCTTCATGGATAACTAAAGACGGAAGCGGTCCTAGATTGAATTGTGAAGCTCCTCAGGCTCAAGTTTATTCGTCCAGACATGGCATGGCATTTACAAGCGTACCATTCAATTAACCTGACTCTCAAAGTATTAAGGGAAATCCAGCTAGAGGTGTTTTGGCACTGCTGTGGAATCATGGCGGAAGAGGGGGGTTCTCAGCCGAGGAGCAGAAGACAGTAGACGATGCAAATTTACATGTCAGGCAGGAGGACTCTCCGAAGAAGTCGCGTGAAAGCTTGAGGCCGGGCATCTCAACCACTTGAAGCTGCAATCTTGGGCGCAGGAATGATTTGCAGCTTTGCACGTTGCTTTTGTCAACACTTTGGCATGGATAGCAGAAGCCAACCAGCATGTTCATGGCGACTTGTCGTTGCATTCTCTGTCATCCCACCATGGCGTCCGTCTGGGGCATGAGTTCTTCTGCATGCGGTCACACCTGCTAGTCAGCAATGAACCAGAAACTCCTGGTTGTTTGCAGGAGGACATTCTTTGATGATGAGGGTACTTTACACTTCTGAGAGTCGCAGCCTCAGGGTGGCCAATGACAGCTTTTGCAGGAAGAGACACGAGTTCAAATTTCATATTGCGGTGGAAATGCAACTGCCATAGCATATAGCCTACTTAACCATTCGCATGTCTGGTTACTCTCCGCTTAATCTTGCCGCAGGAAGATGGGGGCTGTGCCGCTCATCATATGTGAGAACTGAAGTCGGTAGAGTATGAAAGCTCCCGACTGCGTGTATAGATGCCTGAAAAGGCAGGAGCGCACGACAGCGTGCACATATTCGGACCTATGTGCTTGAAATAGCTTTTGCAGGTGTCAATGCTGGTGGGGATGAGAGCCGTCTCATGCTAAAAACGTCCAGTCAGATGTCAAGCCAGGACAGGTAGCCATGCATTTCCTGAATCTAGAAATATGCCACGGTGGGTTTTGGGCGACTTGTTTGGTTGCACTGCATATACTTAATCTTGAAGTCTCCAGGCTGCTGACGTATGCATATTGCTAGAGCTTGATGTGTGCATAGTGTCTGCAAGGCCTCGTGATGATGTTCCAGTCCAGGTGTTCAAGTTAGGCTGTCACGACTCATCCCTGCTTGGATTGATGCCATGCTATTGATTGTGGTGACAGGTTCCTGTCAAAGGAGCAGTTTCTGCACAGCTGTATTCATACACAAACTTGCTGCAGTGAAGTACATGCAGACATTTTGATTGAATACATAAACTCTTCTCCCAAACAAGTGTCTGGATATCGTGCTTCTTTTGACCTTGGAAACAGCGTGCTGTCACCTGGCTTGGCCCATGACTCTTGTGGAGACGGCAAACCATTTGAGAGTATTCCGTGGATTAGGGTGCTTGATTTCAGCATGGAGACAAGGGTAGGCGAGCAGTTGCTAGTTGCTCGTCACACATCTCGCGGGACATTTGATGAGTCTTCTTGCACTTGCGACGAAAGCTTGCCTCTCCTCCTAGGTTAACCCATGCGGTTTAGTTGTGCAGTCTATACGTGGGTTGCCGGCCCAGAACAAGAATGCTGGTCTGCATTGAGCACCCCTGTCTCGGGTACGGTTTGGAAGTGACCGCAATGCCTGGCAACCCACGTGGTTAAGCATCTGCCATGAAGGAAGCTAGACTTGTCAATTGGCATGGGCCAGAAGTTGATGCGGCGGGCAAAGGAATGTAACTGATGTTCTCGCTTCCTTCTGGCTCTTATGTGATTTTTTTACCCTATTACTGTGACAGAGTTTAAAGCGCAATGTCGACAGGTGTAGTGCAGGAGCGCAGGATTGGGATGAAGACTCCACTGCCCCTTGGCATCTTCTCACCACGCGGAAGCTTCAAAGATTTCTGTGCATATTTTGCGGCGCACAGACTGCACTTACGCCAGCGAATTCGTTCGTGCTTTCAGCACGAGCCCCGTGGCAAGGTTGCAGGGCTATCGATCTAGCGGACAGCTGTTCATCCCCTTGGGAAGCAGTTTGCCAATGAGGCCCAGTAATTATGTGCGAGCACTCTCCTCGCAACAGTATCAAGCGCCCGGACAAGGGGGGAAGAAGAGCCTAATTCTACGAGTTCCTTGCAAGGTGCCCCTGGCGCGTGGTGGGCCGGGTGTCTTTTGGCCGTCGCTATATTCTCTGGACGTTTGGATTGTGTTAGCTGCTCAGCTCCGCCAGGGTTCAGCAAATGCTGACAAGTAGGAACACACGTCTTTTCCAGAAGCCTGCGCTGCAAAGTGCTCGCGGCTTGCCGGATTCAGGAGAGTCCTTTTGGGGAAGTCCCCCCTGTAATTTTGTTATTCTTATGTGAATTATTGTCGGTGTCCTGGGTCATTCATTGTAATATCGTCATCGAAAAGCCGACTTCTTCACTGGTTCCCTCTCTCTGTTTGAAGCGGCTTACTGGGTGGTTGGCTTTGCGTGGAGCGCCCCAAGAGCTGTGGGATTCACAGCTTTGAGCTTTCGAGACACATCGGCCTGATACCAGAATGATGGAGGACAATCTGGTAAGGTCTCTTAGAGCTCAGGCATCCAGTCCTGGAACGATCCGATCAGTCTCGTTGAGCATCGGAGCTGCTGATGCCCATGGTCCCGGCGAGGAAAACCAGCCAGACCGTAGAACCCCAACTCATTTTGTAGCCCTGGCCAGGCAGGCACAGGGGCATGGATCCGAAGAATAAGCGACTTTAAACGCCAAGAAGAGCTCAACGGGGAAATTTCTCCTACCTCGCGGCAAATTCTGCGGATCACCCGCCCGGCTCCATCTAGCCGCCGTGAAGTTCTCGCCTGCCTTGCAACTGATGTAGCTACAATTACGATGAGCATATTCGTGCGAGATGCTTCATGTGCCCGGCGCAAGAAGCCAGCCAATGTAGAAGAGATCACTTGCGACTCCTCTTTGAAAGAGGTGATGCCTGCTGGACACCAAACAGTAGACAGAAAGTTTCCTCCCTTAAACCAGGTGTCCACTGAGTCAAAGCAAATATCTGGCTCTTGCTCGCTGAAATGCCTGGCTTGTCTTCCATGGCTGCCGAGTGCACAAAGTGCACAGTGGGGCTGCATTCCTGGGATGAACCTTCGGGATGCAGAATCTTCTTCGTTCTCCCTAGCGCCTATCTCTTGTCCACCGGGCTGCAGGCTCGGAAGGAGCTCATGCGCTCGAGAGTTGCACTCGCTCCAGCTTCGACGGACTCTGCTTGGGATCAAGGGCAGGATGTGACAGAAATATGTTTGCAAGCGGGGATGAAGCATAAACTTGACTTCAAGCCATCAAGCTTCACCCAGGTCTTTCTGCCAGGCTCTTGGAGAGCCTTGGCGCGACCCTCAGCGAGGGCAGGGTGCTGGAGTGAGTTGCAAGAAAACCAACACTTTCGGCGGCTAGGAAATATACCGCTAGGCCTCCTTTAGTCTCCACACCAGCTCCACCTTGATCTAGACCAACATTGGTGATGAATAGTGATGGCAAACAATGGCTATCCGCCGCCAGTCGCAACAGCGTCATGATTCGTGGAGTTTGCATATTTTTTTGCAAAACAGAGTACTGCTAATGTGGCACTGGGTTTAAACTATGGGACCCCCCTAACAACAGGGCCCCAACAGAATTCAAAATTAGGCGCTTTTTAATAAGGGCTCCTGACAACCTCCCGCGGTTCTGGGGTCTCGGGGGATTGAGTTAAAAAGGGATCCCAAAGCTTGCTGGGCCCAGGGATCACAGATTAAAGAAGGTCTGCAAACAATGGAATTTATTTAAGGTCCAGGGGTCTGCTGCACTGCGCCATTGGCCCACATGATCTGGGCCATGATTTCAAAGGTTTCGAATGACGATTTTACATAAAACTGATCGGCTTCAAGTTGAGGATTTGGTATTTGGACTTTGGATCTAAAGCCTGGAGGGCTGATTTGGGAAAGGATTGCGAAAGGCCTTTTGATTTTTTCTTGGGGCCTCAAAACTTGCAGCTTCTTTAGGGCCCCCAAAAACAAAATACATCAAACAGGGTCTTCCCAACAATGGCCTGATAAGCGGCGGCCAAAACACATTGAACAAGGTATCAATGTTTACCAAACCCGGTGCAGCATTGCCCTGCAATGCAGGCTGCAGCTTGTCAATCTTAGCGCGCGCAAAATATGACTTGTGGAAATCTGATTGATTGCCACAAGAGGACATCTGCCCCTAAGGATATGGACAATGAGGCCCGTAGCTCCACGATCTTCAACTTAAAGTCGAACGATTGAAGACAGCACAACATCTGCAACTAAGCATGGCCAGGAACAACATTTGTGGGCTTAGGATTGCAAGGCAGTTAGGTTTTCAATCCAGGCCTTCTCCCCCACAACGTCCGCCTCTGCGACCCCTGCAACAGTGGGAGCCGCGGCCCTGAAAGCTCGAGGGATGGTGGCTGTAACGTGCAGCCTTCTGCAAT